TTACAGTACAAAATAGCAAGTCACATAATAGATATAAATAACATGCTGAACAGGCACTTACCCTGCCTGGCAGTGCAAGAAAACCTCAGAGTAGGTGACATTTGTGCTGGTTCTTGAAGGATGAGCGATTTACTTGGCAGAAAAGAGAGGGAGCAATACCACATTGCCAAGCAGAATGGTTTGTTCAAAGTCACAGAAGCACTACAAAGAAAGATGAGTTTGAAGGACCTTAGTTTGATTGTAGATAAGACATGTGGAAAAGGTGAGAGAAATGGAAAGAGATGAGGCTTGATGAGGAGTTTGCATTTCATTCTGTAGGTAGAGAGAAGTCCTAAAATGCATTCACATGGGTTTAAATAGCTTAGCAATCAAATGCTTTTTCTACGTGGAATTGATATGTACAGTCCAGTCACCAGTCACCACCTGAGTTTACAGAAACATTACATTAGTGAGCCTGCAGCGAGAGCTCCTTCTGACGAGCCCTGGCACATGTGTGAGCTGAGGCAACCTGGATTTCCAAGGGGTTGTTTCAGCCCTGACATCTGTCTTAAACACAGTCATTGAGCTGTGGTTCCTCACTGTGGCTGGAAGCCTAGCCAGAGGCTGCATTATTGTGAGAGATTGTGGCTTTGACAATTATGTGCTCCTCCACTGCAGGGCTCTCTACTTCACATGGGCGCAGGAGCTTGCCAACACACACTTCATGTTTTCATATTTTCCTCATTGGGTAATTGCAAAATGGGCGATTCCACCTCCATGCCGCGAGATTGATTTCATCCAAACTGCAGACTGGCTGATCAGTGGCCCAGTTTTCCAGTCATGTGATCTGGCATCTGGCATTTACCACCCATCAAATGAAATTACACAGCACTGATGAATTACCAGCTCACCCCTGGGCAGAACTTTTTCCCTTAAGTTCCCTCCTCCTTAATACTTGTATAATGTTTAATAGTGTCATGGCTTGTCTACACAGGGATATCAACTGGAATGTATCAAAACTTTACCACAAATGGAGATTTATATATGTATGTATAAATTATACACAAATAGACACACATGTATATGTATGAATACATGTGAATGAGTTATCCGATTTATGTGAGTTATCCGATTTATGTGATGAGTAAAATTGAGTGACTATAATTTTTGTTTTGTTTTAAAAATTATTCATATATAGACACATACACACGTGTGTGTGTGTGTGTGTGTGTATACATACACATATATAAAATGCCATTTATATGAATCTTCCAAATGCATGAAACTATCTAAATAAATCCTGGTACCAATTCCAACGTTGATGTCGAGGGGGATCCTCCCACACCAACAAACAATTTTCAGATACCAGCGGGGCGTCTGAGAAGTCAACTTAATTGTTAACTATCTACCTGAAGAGAGCATCATATTCCACAGGTTGAGGGGTCAGTCCTATAAGACTGCCCCCTCCCACCACTTCAGAAGCAAGTCAAAAACCCAGGCTGTTACCTGTGCTTCTGACTGATGGGCTATAAATCAAGAGGTTCCCTTTACCCTCTCCTTGGGTTTGATTCATTTGCTAGAGTGGCTCACAGAACGCAGAGAAACACGTTACTTACTAGATCACTAGATAACATCCATGTGTTCACCAACCCCAAAGCTCTCCAAACCCCATCCTTTGGGGTTTTTATGGAGGCTCCATTACATAGATATGATTGACTAAATGCTTGATCATTAGTGATTGAACTCCAGCTTCAGCCCCTCTCCTCTCCCTGGAGGTGGAGGTAGGACTGAAAGTAGCAACCCTCTAATCACAATGTTGGCTCCACTGGCAACCAGCCCCCATCCTTAGGTGCTTTCCAAAAGCCACCTCATTAACATAACAAAAGACGCCTTGGTCACTCTCAACACTTAGAAAGTTTCAAAGGTTTGGGAGCTGGAGTCAGGAATTGTGGCTGAACACCAGCTATGCATCTAAATGACCAAATATATGTTTCTTATAAATCACACTATCACACTTTCGAATGTTTTTGTTTTGTTTTACTTCAATCAAGTCTTTATGGAACTATTTTTGAAAGTGTCGAAAGGGTGAGTTCTGGAATCAGCCTGCTCTGTTTGAATACCTATTTCTTCACCTCCTAGTTCTGTCTCCTTGGGCAAATAACAGTCTTTCTGAGTTTCAGCTTTCTCACCTTTTAAAATGAGAATAATAGTAACCACCTCATGGGATTGCTTTGTGAATTAAATGGGTGTGCAGGTAAAGCATTTGGTATGCAGTGAACATTCAAATAATGCTAAAAATTCATACTTGATGCACATTAGAATTAGCTCTTGAATGCTGGGGCCATCATGACAAGCATTAATGATTACAGGAAAACAGATAGCTGGCAACTGTGGAGCCTATTAAGAACCAGAAAGCTATTTACCCTTCTACTTAATAGCCCCAGACCAGGCTTCTTCCCAGGCCTGTCTGGTTTCTGAGTATTTATACAGCATCCTTTGCTTTTAGACTGTCAGTTGTCACATTATAAAATTGCTAATTTACATAGGAACTTAACAGTGCTTTTGCCCCCTTAGCGTTTTACTGACAAATCAAATAATCCAGCTTGTTAAAATTCCATCTAAAGCAGGAGTTTAGAAGCTCTGATTGAATGCCCCAACCTGTCCTTCAATGTCTGCACTATGTACTGTCCATTTTAGCCACTCAAAGATCTTTTCTGCTGATTTCAAGATTATTGGCCAATGAAAGACAAATACCAAATACAGCATGATCTCACTTATATGTGGAATCTAACATAGTCAAACATGTAGAAGCAGAAAGCAATGGGAATTGCTAGGAGCTGGGGGAAAGTCAAAATGTTGGTCAAAGGGTACAAAGCTTCAGTTATGTAGGGTGAATCAGCCCAGGAGAACTAACGTTTAAAATATGGCTATGGTTAACAATACTGTATTGTATACTTGAAATCTGGTAAGAGGATAGATCATAAAATATGTCACACACACAAAAGTAACTATGTGAATTATTGGATATGTTAATTAGCTTGATTATGGTGATTATTTCACAACGTATATCAAAATAGCAAGTTGCATACCTTAAATATATACAATTTTTATTTGTCAACTATTTTTCAATAAAGCTGGACAAAATTAAGTTATAGTTCAACATAATAAATTAAAACTATGCCATAATAAAAAAAAACATTATCTGCAATGTCTATGATAGATGAAATTGTTATTAAGGGACCTCCAGAAAAAGTGAGAGGACACTTAACATTTCACATCTGTATCTGAGCGACACAGGTCATTAAAGGTCCATATCTTTAGAGATTCAACAAAGAAGTAAGTATACCACCTCTTTTTTAAAGCAAACTATGGCATATAAATAAAGAATACCTAGGCAAACTTTTTCGAGTTTAAAAAATTGTAAAAGCATATACTAACTCAACCTGTCTAGAACCAAAATCTCAGCTCCATAATCCATTGATTAAATTTCTTCACATTTTGTGGTGTGATTTTTAGACAAGCAAATCTTATTACTCTTCATGAAAACACAGTACAGAGAAGACCAGAACTACCAGTAGCAGCCTATGTGAATGGTGCTCCCTGAAGTTGTGTGGGGAAGCAATTTCAAGTGAGACTGCCTTTGTTTTAAATTTGTGTGGTTTGGCTTCAGTAGCCAAACCATCTCAGTGTCCAAGATAACTGCGTTCACCTCCCACCTATTCTCCTGGCTGTGAATGCTTGTTACCAACATCCATCCCAAGTTTCAGAATATATTTTTTTCCAGAAAATAGTCTCTCTCTCTCTCTCTCTCTCTCTCTCTCTCTCTCTATATATATATATATATATATATATATATATATATATATATATATATATATATATCTTTCATCATTTCAAATATTATAAACCTGGTCCTACAAAATAAAATAAATTCCAGACTTCAGCTGTTTCTCTCTTTTTGGCTCATGAATAATAAATTCTACATTTTAGTAGATTTTTTAATTTATGTTTTATAATTTTTTAGTTTTGAAACCCTATATATCTCTCTTCTCTTGCCTTTCAGCCATGTCCCTCTCTGCAGCCAGCCTTCTCCTGTAACACACACACACACACACACACACACACACACACACACACACAGTGACCTGCCCCACAGTTTCCTAAACACATTTTATTTTCTCGTGCTCATAGACTATGGGCATCTATGCATGATGCCCTGCTTTTTGGAAAGCTCCATCCCTGTTTCCTTGACTGGCAAGCTCTCATGCATCCATCAGAAGTCAAGTGAAATGACCAGCCACCTCCTCTTTGAATTTTCTGTGTGCGGGTGTACTGGGTGTTCCTGTAGCTCCCTCTCCTTCACTCTGCCTTAGCCCTTAGACACTGTTAAGTGCCAACAGTCTTGCTAAACTGGAAACTCCTTAAGGTCACAGCCCTTAAATCCACTTTGCCTGGCACATCGCAGGGAACTCAATAACGGGTGAATGATTTCATGAATAGCATTTCCTTCTTATAAAAAAAAATCACTGTACTTTCAACTGATTGAGCATATCATGACCTACTAATTTTGAAGTTCAATGTACTTCTGATTATCTTATCAAATAATTAAAAATATAAACATGTAAGAATGTCAGTGTCAACACTTAGGTGAGGGGGAAGAGTAAGGGAAGTATTGTCTTCCATTGCTTCTTGTGAGACATCTTGATATCTCCAGGTTGAAAAGCCTTCCCCAGGTGGGTGGTGACAGCCCAACATAGCACAGAACGTCAGTTGCAATCCCCCCCTTATTTTTGTTTTGCTTTTTCAGGTTACAAATGCTGCTGCCAACTCTCCTGGCCAAATGACTCTTCATCTCAAACCTTGCCTTGTGTGTGGAGGGGATGGATTTACCCACTCCAACTTCGATGGCTGCATTGCTTCTGCCTTATGTGTTCTGGAAGCTTTAAAGGATCATATTTAGTACCTGTATTCTTAGTCTCTACCTGTGCTTTGGGTTTTTGTTTTCTCAATTTTCTGTTATTGATTTTTTCCTTTTCTATTTTGTTGAGAGAAATTACCGGAAAATTGTTCTTCACTTGTTGTCATTTTTTATATGGAGTATAAAATTGATTTTCTAATTTTTATAGTTACAACCCATGCTAGAATAAAAATTTCTTGGGCTTTATACCTGTTGCCACTTTTCTGAGTTGCCGTGGCTACTATACTTGTTGGAGGAAAAGTAATGCTTAAAAGTAACAAGTGGCCCTCCCCAAATTTAGTCAAATCAAAACTTTATTATTCTTTTGAAAATTTCACTTCCAAATAAATATTCATTATCAAAGCCTCATTTTTAATCTTCAACTATGCCCTTGATTTAATATTTTTACAAACTTCTAAACTACAAGATTCCTCCAAACTATACATAACAGTGTAATTTTTGTTACTCATTTATCTCCTAAGTTATTAAATAATCCTGAATTGTAGTCATGTATGTCCTCATCTCTAGGATTGCAGTTGGGAGGGCAACTTGACAGGTAAAATAACCTCTCCTCAAATTTTCAGAAAATAACCAGATTCATCTTGACTTTCCAAGTGACACAGAACTTTTTAACCTTAAAAAAACTCAGTCTTAGGCCAGCGGAGTGGCTCAGTTGGTTAAGAGCTTGCTCAAGAGTGTGAGCTCTGAGCAACAGGGTCGCCGGTTAGATTCCCACATGGGCCAGTGAGCAGCACCAGAGCTGAGCTGCCGCTGAGCTGCCAACAGGTGGCAGGATGGCTCAGCTGGTGAGAGCACGTGCTCTTAACAACAAGGTTGCCGGTTTGAAATGGTGGGGTACGCCCACCCGCAACTAAAGACTGAACTCAGCACCTTGAGCTGAGGTTCGGCCTGGATGGCTCAGGGGATAGAGCGTGCGCTCTTAACAATGAGGCTGCTTGTTCGACTCCCACATGAGATGGTGGCTACACCCACCTGCAACTAATTGAACACAGCACCTTCAGCTGAGCATGACTGGACTTGTAGCTGAGCTTGTGGCGCCCTCCACAACTAAGATTGAAGGACAACAACTTGGCTGTTCCCCTTCCCAATTCCCCAACACTGTTCCCTTCCCCCAATTCCAAAACAAACAAACAAAAAAACACCCAGTCTTATTATGAAAGATAAAAATTAAATAGAAACTGAGAGAAAATATATCAACCTGTACCTTTTGGTATCTCCTATGGCTGCTGCTACCTTTATGTGCACTCCAGTATGTACTATGGCATTTAGACTGTGTCAAGTTTAATTCATTTAATACAATAAAAAAAATTACTGAACCAAAAAATCGATGCACTTAAAATAGTTCAATATTTTCCAACTTAGTGGTTCAATGACCCACATACTTCAGTGACAACCCTATGACTTCCTGGCTGGAGAAAAATTGATCCCCAGCCTTCCAAACACGCTACCTGTTGCTAATTCAAAAAGCAAAATGGTGAGTTCTATTTTATCATCTTGAAAGGAAAAACATTTGTATCCTCTCAAACAAAGAGAAGTTCTACAAAAACACTTGATAACTTGGTAGAACCTAAAGTTTCAACTTACATGCCCCCCAATCACACATGCACATACACAGGCATGGGCAGAACTCACGTATCTACAAAGCAGGTTTTGTGATTCTATGGAATGTTATTATGTGTGTCCTTTTAGCAACCAATTGATGGAAAACTGAAATGCCCACATGTGGCGATTGTCACTTACTTTTGAAAGCAGAGAAGGGAAATTAATGTGATCTCTGGTATGATATGATGAAAAATATGGAGACTTCTTGCATCATTTTGGCCCATATTTGAGGAACATTTTTCTTTATTTTTATTTTACCCTTAAAATATGGTAGAAGAGTCATTCAAATGTATTAACTATTTTGTTTTTAACATAATTCTGGAACTATTTGACTGAAAGCATCCTGAAGCTTTAAGAACAATGTTATATTCATCTCATGAATGTATATCCTCCAAAGAAAAGAGAGAAAAGGCAACTTTCAAAGGTGATGCGTTATTTAAAGACAGAACTCTTCTAAGCCATTACTCATGACTTTGATTATCTAGTCATTCTAAGTGTGTTTCCCGAATAATTCTGTACATGTTTTGAGAAGACTACAGCAGTATGAGCAAAAACTCAACCCTGCTTTAAATGTATATCATTGTTACTTTGCTATTTTAATCATTTTGAAAACTGGTTTTACATTTAGATCTGTCTCTGATAGGAACAGGCCAATTCCCTGATGCTCAAAAAAGGAAGTAAAATGTATCAGATGCTTGTGTTCTTCATTTTCATTACCTCTTTCCTTGTAGAAATGAAATGGAGATGGGATTGTCTTATGCTGGAAACCATCCCAGAAGGCCATGAAACTCAGATGGCCAGGATGCCCTAAAAGACCCAGGGCTAAGGTATTAAACGCCCCTGAGAAATGGGGGTCAGCACCATTTGGAACAGCGGCCAAGGTGTATGTTTGTCAGCCCCACAGGACCACACTGCAACACGAGATTTCCAAACAAGAACATTTATTAATCAAGCCAGGCAAGGAAAAGCTGTTCTGCTTTGAAAGGAGCATATTCAAGTGAGAAACGGCTTGAGCAGTGGGGTGATTTAATACTTGTTAGCTGATAAATATAGCATTTGCCGGAATAAAACTTTATGATGCAGTGTTGAAAAGCTTAATTACTAAACTGTCTATGCACATCTTGCTCAGGCAGCAAGGGTGACAAATTATAGCCATGGAATCGAATTTTTCACCTTTGGCATTACTGAAGAGGAAAAGTATGTCTAAAAACATCAAGAAAGCAGTAATATTCCCAAACCTGATATTACTGGGGGTGGGGGGGGAGACACTTCATTGAGTCACCAAGCCTCCTGTGCAAAATGCCATCATCCCCCCTACCCCTCCACCTACCCACTACCTTGTTAAGTAAAAAAAACCCCAAAAAACACAAGGTCAATTTTACATTTATCTGGTATTTTACACTCATCCAAGTGTGTGTGTGTGTGTGTGTGTGTGTGTGTGTGTGTGTGTGTGTGTGAGCAAGGAATTCTTATTTATATTTGACAAATGAGGAAACTGAGGCACAGAGATTGGCCAACCAAGGTCACATAATGAGATGCCAGGACAAGAACCCAGGCCTCCCATGACCCATTTCTGCTTATGTGGCGCCATGCTGCTTTCAGAGGAACATGGTGATTAAAGCTGAGCTGAAGTATTAGTAGGCGGTACAGTCAGCACCAGGCAGTCCTCTTATTGACGTTCATTTCAGAGAGCTAACACTAATCCTGATGTGATATATACAGGAGTCTAATATGGAATAAAGTCTCCTTAAGTACTGGCTAAATGATTTCTATTCCCGTTATTTTCATTTGTTGGTTTATTTCCTTTGGGGGTGGGGGGCACTTGCTATGAGAAATAGCTGCATCATAATGATGCTGGATTTCACCCCAGCGGCAGTTGGTTGGCTACAGACTGCATTCATCCTTTCCTTCTGTGTTCCTCTTTGTCTCTCCATTCGTTTTGTTTCCCTCTCTTCTATCATTTCTTTCCACTCCCCCCCACCCCCTCTATTTTTTCTCCAGCTTCTTCCCCTATGCTCCATTCTTCCTTCTCAGAAACTCGGAATATGAATGCAATCAAATTGTGATTCATAGTATTTTCCTTCCTTGCGTTAATATATTTTTTGTCTAAAATTTAAAGCAGTTGATCCTGATGTTTATTCAAGTGGATCAGAGAATCATTATTTTGATTTTCAAAAGTGATGCAAGAATTTAAAACTGGCTCTCAGTGCTAATAACCTACAAAATACATGCAAAGCATTGAAACAGGCTCTGTAGTGGGCACAATGGAATATAATTAGCAATTTCCACCTAAAGATATCAGTTAGGGGAAGACACATGGAGTGGGAGGCAGGGTCAAGGTACATGTTAGTGTAATGGCAGGCAGTAAATAAGATGCAGTAACTCATGAAGCTGGGGCATTCTAAGAGAAAGGACCATGTTTTCTTGGGAGACAGAGGGTTCCTGAACAGATGCAGAGATGCATAAGGCAAGCACATCCCCTCCTGCCCTGCCTCCCCCCCCCACACACACACACACACTGTACGTGGGCAGACCTGGCTAACACCAGGATTCCAAACTGTCTGTCGTTGTGGTCTGAACAAGGGAGTCCTTTCTGTGGGGAAGGCTCAGTAGAACACAGAAAGTGCTCTCTGGAAAGAGGAAAAAGCCTCAGCAGACCTCAAATTAGCTGTTGCTGAACTGAACTGCTGTATTACAGTCTAAAATGTATTTGCATCTCAGCCAGTATCACCTGGCCAGGTAAGCCAAAGCAGGTTGAAATGGTCACGTGTCCTATGTTTCCTTCTCAACAGATCGTAATTATAGTACACATAAGAGCTCATAGACTCCATCAAAGGAAACTGCTAAGGAGACAGACTCTCCAGGATAGTGTTAATTTAAAAGGCAAGTAGACTCAGAATCCTGGAATATCTAAGTTTAGAGTGCTTGGAGACTATTTAGACCAGTTCTTAGCCCTCTTTGATTTTAAACCTACTTCAGAAAGTATGGAAAGCTATGAATCTTCTAATAACAACAATGAAAATAACTATGCACATATGCACATAAAATTTGCATACCATTTTAGAGCCTGTTTTTGTAAATAAAGTTTTATTGGAAGACAGGCTTACCTGTTCTTTTGTGTACAATCTGTGTCTGTTTTTGCACAATTGGAGAGGTGAGTGTTTGTACCACAGACCATATGGCCTGCAAAGCCTAAAAGAGTTAACTATCTGGTGCTTTAAGAAAAAAATTGCTGACTCCTGTTTTAGGAAGTTACAAATCCTCCAAAGTCTATTTTTAGAAACTCAGGGGTCTATGGACCCCAGATTAAGAGCCTCTAAATCTCGACCCTATAACTTTATGTAAATACAAGCTTATCTTATATCCACACATCTGGTCCATTGTTCCTTGATCCTATGCCCCATTGTAAATCCTTTAAGGCAAGGATATAGCTTTGCAGTTAAGAATGCATTCTCCGGAGTTAAATAGATCTGTGATTTAATCCAGACTTTGCTCCTCATTGTGTGACCTTGAGAGAGTTAAACAACTTCACAGACGCCTCATCTTCTAAAAAATGAGCTAAATAGGAGCTACTCGTAAGATTGTTGTGAGACTTCAATATACATAAAACCTTAGCAGAGTTCTGGACACATAGTAAGCGCTAAATAAATGATAGCAATGATGGTGATGATAATGAAAGAGAGGAAGGAGGAGGAGGAAAAAGAGTATAAGCAGACCCTCTTGGTGGCTCTGATGCACCTGCGAAGGCCATTTTCCTCTGCATTTACAGAGGATACTTAGGGGAGTCAATGGTAAGGAGAGTTTGTGCATTGACAGCAAACTGTGGTGAAACTTAGAAAGTTAAAAGCTCTAGGTTTCTTCAAAGTCTTCATGAAACAGAATAGTAGTGTCTACCTGAGACCAGCTGTGGACCACTTTCTCTTTTCCTGTTACAGCTGGTAATTAGCTACTTGTTTTTTGGGGAAAAGGTGGTTTGCTCTAATGTGGTCTGTGAAAAGAAACCAAGATAGGTCATTACCAGGAGTAGGGATGGTGTAAAGTAGAGTGTTCTGTGCAATGAATGGTGTCTTTTC